TTTTTGAGGAGTCTAAATAAAACTACTAAAACTTGCCCAGCCACTGTGGCACAGTGCTAACTGTAGCTCTGGAAGCCATGTGGTGACTGGTTCAAATCCCAGCTTGGCTTGAAAAACATCAGGCATATGCGTGGGTAGCCAGGATCCTGAAAAGCCAGAGGGCTGGGGAAAGAGGGTTGAAGCATGACTAAACCTTATCCAGGGTGTTTTCTCTCTCTTAAGCATATGTTTTCTATGATGTTTTCTACTTGAACCGCAGCCACCCATGTGGGAGTCCAGAGCCCTTAAAGAGGGAAAAAGTACTAAAATATTCACCTATAGGTTTTTAAACATTTTGTGGACATGTGTTTTAATTTTTCTTGGGTAAATACCTCGAGTGGGATTTTTGGTTTGTATGGTAAGTGTATGTTTAACTTAATAAACTGCCCAACTGTCTTCTGTTCCCTGATGGTGGTAAGCCATTTTGCATTTCTACCAGTAGTATATGAGAGTTCTAGTCGCTCTATTTCTTACTAGTACTTGATAAAAGTTTTCATTATTAGTATTTTGTTTTTTATTGCTATAGGATGTGTACACTCACTGGAGTGAGAAATCACCCCTCAGGGGGATGGCTGTCCTGCAGTCCTTTTTTGTCCATTCTCTCAAGATTTTGGGCACACATACACACACATGGCGTGATTTTCAAGTGGCCAGGTCCAGACTCAAACTGCAGACTTGACCACGTAGGATCCAGCTATAATTTTTTTTAAATACTTATTTTTAATTATTATTATTTTTTGTTCACATGAGTTTTGCCAGAGAGAGAGAAAGCAAGCTGTCAGGTCTGGGACTCAAACAGTGGTCGACCATGGGAATTTCAGTGCCTTAACCACCATACTACCCGCTGGCTCTGGATCCAGCTGTCATAACCTCCAAGCCACTTGCTGGCCCATTATTATTTGAGTTATTGGAAGAGTCATGACTCATTTTTGCATAGATAAAAGAAAAATATGCCATGATTTCTGACAACCTAATAGTATTTTTTGCTAATAAAATGTAACCATTGTAGTTGCAGTTTTAGTGATTCTCAGTGTAGTTTTAATTTATATTTGACAAAATATTAATGTTGAAGCTCTTTTTAAGTGATTACTTAGTTGTGAGAGTTTTAAAATATACTCCGGTTATCATCTTTTATCACAAATGTATTTTGTGAGGGCTAGTAGTTGATGTGGTGACTAAGGCGCTGGACGCCCACATGGCCGACATTAGTTCAAGTCCCAGATCCAATGGCTTAAAAATCACGCTGGGCGTGTGTGTGCCCAAAGTCTCAAGAAGAGAATGGAAAAGGCATTGTGGCATGGCTGTCCTCCTGGAAGATGATTTCTCCTTTTCTTTCTCTCTCTGTCTCTCCAGTGAGCACACGTGCCCTGTGGCAAAAATAAAACAAAACAAACAACAACAACAAAAACCATAAAAAAAGAAATGTGCTCTGTAGGCATTTTTTCCCAGGTTATATCTTGTATTTCTATTGTCATAACAGTGTCTTTTTAAGAGATTTAAATTTTCATTAGTCCAACTAATTTTTTCTTTTGTAGTTTGTGCCTTTTGTGTCCTAAGAAATAGTTGCCTAACCCAAGATCACAAAGATTTTTTCCTTTGGGAAGTTGTATTGTTTTAACTTACTTATATTGTTGACTTTTACATTTTGGTCTATGGTGGTGGTCCTTTTTGACTTCATTTTTGTATGTTCAACATAGAGGTTTTGGTATTTTCAATTTTTTTGCATTTGAATGTGCAGTTGTTCTATACATGGTGTTTTGTATAGGATTTTTATTGTATTGTCTGATGATTTTAAATAAGAGACACTTGATTCCTCTTCTACACAGTACTCTTATTCAGTGTTTTAACTCATTCTCTGCTTGGTTTTTAGTTATTATTTTGTCATTAATTAATCACAGATTTAAGGCCATACTCATATTAAGACAAGGAAAATCTAGGTCACTGAAATTTCTTGGTGAAATTAAAGTGACACCTGGATCTTTTTCTCATTCTCCAATAGTTTACTCTTTAACCTTCAGTTTGGCAGGGTTATGGTTATTTTTAGAGCACAAGCAGTAGAGCTAATCTAACTCCTCCAGCTACCTGCAGCAGTGAGCTCATCAGCTCTTCCAAGCTTAGCATAGTTTGCTGAGATGGATTTTACTTGGAAGTTGATTAAAGTAAAAACAGTGGCTTTGGGACCAATAGGTAACATGGTAGATAAGGTGCTGGATCCCACATGGTTGCCTCCATGGTTTGAGTCCGCAACCAACCAGCTCGGAAAAATAAGCTGAGTGCGTGTGTGTGTGCCCATAATCCTGAGAGGAGAATGGAGGAGGAGGGATTGTGGTGTGGCCAGCCCCACCGTGGGGGGTGGGGGGGACTGTGATTTTCACTTTTCTTCTTTCTGCCTCTATGCATGTGCTCTATGGCAAAAATCTAAAAACCAAACCAAACCAGTGGCTTTGTTGGGAATATAATGCTTTGAAGAATGAGGAAGATAGTTTGGATTTGGGTGAGATATGGTCCCTAACCTCAGATTATAAAGTAAAGTTGTATTCTTTGATGATGGAAGAGATTTTAGAATGGCTTCTATACTTGAGACCTAAGGCAGAATCACAGCATCTCTGCCTTCTTTCATACGGACAGTGTCTTAGCTTGAACTGCCATAACCAAACACCATAGACTGGGTGACTTAAACAGAGAAACTTATTTCCTCATAGTTTTCTTTCTTTCTTTTTTGAAGAGAGATTTTTGCTATGGGGTGCCTGTGCTTACGGGAGAGACCGAGAAACAGAAAGCGAGAAATCACCTCCAGGGGGTTGGCCACTCTGCAATCTCTTCTCTATTCTCCTCTTGGGATTTTGGGCACACACACACACCTGATGTGAGTTTTAAGCCACCAGGTCCAGGACTCAAACCATGATTGACTGCATGGGAGTCCAGCAATGGAACTGTTAAACTATCTGCTGGTCCCAGTTTCCTTTAGAGTAGAAGTTCAAGATCAAGATGCCAGCACTGTTGGTTTCTAGTGAATGCTCTTCTTGTGAATGCTCCTTTGCTGGCTTGTGGATGGCAAACTGTATCCTCTGTCCTCACGTGGCAGGGGAGAAAGAGCGAGATGAGTTTCAGGAGATCACCACTACTTTTATCTGACTTCACGTACCTGTGGTTTGAGTTGGCATCGTCTTTCATCATCATGCTTCCAAATGTCCTCTCAGATCTGCCTGAGCCCTGCCCTTGGAGTGTTCCTACTGCTCTGTCTTGGCCTCATATGAGCAGTCTTTGGATGGTGTCTCTTGGCAGAGAACACTTTCTGTGAAGCAACTTGGATTTCTGTAGAGGAGGGTAGGGGGTAAGGATAAGGATGGAACTGCTTCTGGGATAATTGTTATGGGAATGAAAGAGCTGTTGAAAGATTAGAGGGCAGTGTGCCTGGGTACAAGGACTGGGGTCATAATCATACTTTGTCTTTTACCAGTGCCTTTTGTCCAAGGCACTGAAAGGCCTTAACAAAATTCTGGTCTGAATAATAGTATTCTTTGCTCTGCAGTTTGCCAGAGGTGGCAGTTAGACTGTTTAAAAAAAAAAAAAAAAAAAAAGAGTGTCACAATGGTAGAAAAAGAAATAAGGTAGATACCTTTATTCCTAGTTAGGGCTTTGCCAAAAAATCTGGTGGAATTACATAAAATAATGTTTACCATTATATGAAATGAGCTGGTGCAGTTTAATAGAAATGTTTCACTTTTCCTCCCCACTTGGTGACTGTTAGGAAAACAAAAAGAAAACTCAAAAAGCAACTCTAAGGGTTTTTTCTTCGGAGAGGTTTTTGTTATAGGGCGCATATGCTCACCAAAAAGACAGAGACAAAAAGTGAAAAATCATCCCCCCCAGGGGCTGGCCACGCCACAATCCCTTCTCTATTCTCCTCTTGGGATCTTGAGCACTCACGCACATGTGCCCTGCTGGGTCTGGGACACAAACCACAGTAGATTACATGGGAGTCCAGCAGTGTAACCATTACACCATCTGCTGGTCCCCAACGTTTTTTTCTTAGAGTGTTTCTGCAATTCTTGCACTGTTCCTTATGATCTTTAGTATCTGGGTGCTTAAAATGGATTTGAAGTTTAGGCATCTGAGTAAACAATAACGCGCAAGGTTTTAACTCCAGAGCTTGATTTCTTTTCTCTCTATTGATTTGTGTATAAAACGAGATTCAGAATTTGATCTACCTCTTCATTTTATGAAAACAGTGTTTTACAGAGTGTGTGGCTATAATGGAAGATTCTAGACTGGAGGGCAGTGCTGAAGCTAGCTTTCTGTATTGAGTTGAGGCTCTTTGCTTATAGTACCTACTTGTCACTTGGTAGGTGCCTGCTGTTCCAGGCTTTATTTCAGTACTTTCTTTTTCATCTGAGAACACACTGCCAGTTACTCACTGAATGAGATAATGAGATGGCAGTTGATCTCTCAAACATAGGGAGAAAGATAGGAAATAGTGGGACCAGCATTGGCATAATGGCTATGTTGCTGGACTCCCATGTAGTCGACTGGTTCAAGTCCTGGACCTGGTGGCTTAAACTCACACCAGGCACATGTGCGTGCATGCCCAAGATCCTGAGAGGAGAGTGGAGGAGAAGGGATTGTGGCGTGGCCATCTCCCCTGGGGGTGATTTCTCGCTTTCTGTCTGTCTCTCTTTCTGGCGGATGCACAACACCCTATATCAAAACCCGCTAAAAAAAAAAAAAAAAAGAAAGAAAGAAAGTTAGGAAATAGGAACAGAAAAATAGGAAACAGATATAAGAAAAAAATTCTAGTGTTTTTTTTATTAGGAGCTGAGAGGCCCTTTTAAGCACTCATACAGAAGTCACGTTTATAAAAAATGACAAAGCCTATAGATGTTGTTAAATCTCCTTGTCCCTTTTGTCACCATTCCCAGTTGTGGTCTGATTGTTTCATTTTCTTTTTTCCCTAAATCTAGGCTGGCTACAGCAAGCATCATTCAAGATGTCCAGTAAAGGGAGCGGCACAGATGGCAAAACAGACTTAGCTAATGGTAAGGGGTTGAAATAAAGGCAACGCTATTATTCTTGACTGAGATTCTTCTCCTCCCCCAAGAGAGAATGGCGACCTAGACTTTAATGGAGGGAAGAAACTTTGCTGTGTTATTCTGAGTATTAAGAAATTACACAGGAAGTACCTTGGACTACCTGGTACTTTCTCACCTTCAGTTTTTTTCCCTCATTGTTTGCAGAAGGTCAGTAATCTGAGAGGTCAAGTGAGTTGGAGTTCTGAAGGACTGTAAGGGTGGGTGGAACTTAGGAGAAGCTGTTAAAGGAGAAAAATAAGATCCAATTGGTAATAGAAACAAGGGAGTTTGGTGGAAGATGAGGTTCCCAGTTATATTGAGAAGTCTTATTCCATGATAGATCATAGTTTGATAGATTGGTAAGGGATGAATTTACAACCTAAACTAGCTGGGATTGAGCCTACCTATTTCCTCTCCCTCCCTGCCTCCTTTCCTTTCCTTTCCTTTCCTTTCCTTTCCTTTCCTTTCCTTTCCTTTCCTTTCCTTTTTTTTTTCAGGGCCAGTTCTCCCAAGTGTTAGATCACTGGGTCTAAAGCAGACTTGAAGACAGAGTATCAAGATTCTGATAAAGTATAGGTATCACTTGGGTATTTTGACCAATGATTCAATGCAGAGCCAACGTCTAGAGAATCCTCCTTCAAATGGATATATTGGGTTGTTGGGAAATCTTGATGCATTTTGCATAGAAAAACATAGAGAAGGTATGTCAAGACTTTTCTGACAACCCAGTAGTTGGGCAGCACCAAGTTCAGCATTCTTTAATATATTTTTGAAAGTCAGGACTAAAGGCTAAATTCTAGTTGAAGTGATTGGTAGAGCAATGAAGTCAAGAAAAATGGTTCAATTATTTTTTGAGGGTTTTTATGTTATAGGGCACGTTTACTCACCAGAAAGAGACAGAGAGACAGTGAGAAATCATCTACCAGGGGGGATGGCCACGACTCAATCCCTTTTCTTCCATTCTCCTCTTGGGATCTTAGGCACGCGCACACACACGCACCCGGCGTGAGTTTAAGCCACCAGGTCTGCGACTTGAACCACAGACCTAGCAGCTTGCTTTCTCACTATCTTTCTTTTTCTCTCTTTCTCTGTCCATCTCTGGTCACATTAAAATAAATACACAAAGTTAAATAAAATGATTATTGGAAAAAAAAAGAAAAATTAGGACCAGCAGTTAGTGTCATGGCTATGTCGCTGAACTCCCATGTAGTTGACTGCGGTTCAAGTCCTTAACTCAGTGGCTTAAAGTCACGTTGGGCACATGTGCGTGTGTGCCCAAGATCCCTAGAGGAAAATGGAGGAGAAGGGATTGTGGCGTGGCCATCCCCCCTTGGGGTGATTTCTCACTTTCTGTCTCTCTGTCGCTCTCTGGTGAGCACATGCGCCCTGTAGCATAAACCTCTCCAAAAAAAGAAAAAAATTGTTCAGATTTTTTATAGGTAACAGGCTTCTAGAGGGATTTGAGGTATACTATTGATTTGGAGGTTGGTGATTAATTAGGTCAGGGTTGGCAAACTAGAGCCTGGTGGTCAAATCCAGCCTGCCACTTGTTTTTGTCAAGTTTGATTGGAACACAGTCATGTCCATATTTGCATTGTTCTATGGGTTGCATTTGTGCTACACAGTAGACTAGGCTAGTTGTCACAGAGCTTCACATGGTCTGCAGAGCCTTTTTTTTTGAGCCTAACATTTTTATTGTCTGGTCTTTTACAGAAAAACATTGCCAGCCCCTGAGTCAGAGCTTGGTCAGTGATTGTTGGGACCCCCCCTTGCTAGATTATATTGTACTATGGCCCTGACGTGAATGTGGTAGGGCCTCTGTAGTCTTCTGAATGTGTTAGTCATATGTTTAGCAGTAAATGCTGGGAGTTTTACCATTTTATTTTTTCTTCTCCACAGACATGTTACATATGGTAATTTTTAATTCCTTTTCACTGCATCCAAACTCAAACCCAGTAATACTTCAAATCTCCATGCTGTTAAACCTTCTCAGCATACTTTAACAGTCTTAGCATAGGAGGTTCCTAGTTCAGATTTCTGTGCTTTTTCCCTTTTTATTCCAGTTTCTTGCTCAGGTTTTTATTCTGTACTCGTAGTTGAGGTGCTTTTTTCCTTTTTCTTTTTCTTTTCTTTTCTTTTCTTTTTCTTTTTCTTTTTCTTTTTCTTTTTTAACCAGAGATTTTTGCTATAGGGTGCGTGTACTCTCCAGAGAGACTGAAAGTGAAAAATCACCTCACCAAGGGAGAGCACCACACCTTCTCCTCCATTCTTCTCTTGGCATTTTGGGCACGCACGCACAAAGGCCGGGCATGAGGTTTTTATTTTGTTTTTGTTTTTGTTGTGAAGAAGTTTTTACTTTAGGGCGCATGCGCTCACCAGAAAGATAGAGGGAGACAGAGAGACAGAAAGGGAGAAATCACCCCCCAGGGGAGATGGCCACGCCACATCCCTTCTCCACCATTCTCCTCTCAGGATCTTGGGCACACACATACATGCACACAGAGAGAGTTTAAGCCACTGGGTCTGGACCTTGAGCTGCGGTCGACTACATGGGAGTGCAGCAATGTAGCCATTACGCTAACTGCTGGTCTCGTGGCATGAATTTTAAACGACCATGTCTGGGACTTGAACCACGGTTGACTAGTCGGAGTCTGGCAACATAACCATTATGCCATCTGCTGTTGAGGTGTTTTTTGGCAAGAGATGTTGATTTTTCTCTCAATCTCTGTTATTGCTTAAACCAAAACACTTGTATTGCTTAACAGTTTTCCATCTTGGGTTTGGCCTAAGAGGGGTTCCATTGCTTCAGAGATCTTTGCACATTCTTGCTGTGCCGCATGCAGTATGGTGCACCGACCTTGAAGCCTTACATATCAGTGTGTTCTTAGGATTGAATATCTTGTACAGAACCCACACAGCTGATCTGCCTTTCCTAACAGTTTTTATTTCTGGCAGGATTAAGCCTGTAGTCATCTGAGAAAAGTTACCATGAGCAGTGTTTAAAATCCTCATTCTTCCCTTCCTTTCTTTACAACTTTACCTCAGGTTGTATGTTGTGGTGGTATTTGGCTCTACGATGTTGCCCAAGTGCTCAATAGAATATGGTTTATCTGTTGTTAAAAAAGGGTATTTAAATGTGGTATCTAATTTAGGGGAATAGATCACACAAAGTTACCCAGTTATTTAACTACCAACATAGCAGACATAGAATTCACTAAACTTTTCTCAGGTACCATGAGAGTAGCCCTGCTTTTCATCAATTGTTTGTTTCCTGATCAAACTCTCGTCTCAATAAAGAAACAAAAAAATGTGTGACTGAAAATTGCATTATAATGTTTAAACTAAAAGAAGTTTAAGGGAGCCAGCAGGTGGTATGGTGGTTAAATAAATAAATAAAACTAAATAATTCTTTTTTAAAAAAAAGTTTAAGTGAGAATATATTTGCTAGAGAAACTCAAGTGATCACACTCCTTCAACTTACCTCCTTAGCTTCCTTTCTTAGTAGAGTTTTAGGAACTTAGGAGAAGACACACAGAGTTTAGAATGGCAGGAGGTAGTGCTGCTTTTTGAAGTGGGAGGCAGTCTAACTCCACATCTATAAGCCAGAGTGATTTTTTTTTTTTTTTGAGAAGTTTTTTTGCTATAGGGCACATGTGCTCGCCAGAAAGACAGAGACAGACAGAGAGACAGGAAAGGAGAAATTACCCCCCAGGGGGGAGGCCACACCACAATCCCTTCTCCTCCATTCTCCTCTCGGGATCTTGGGCATACACACACACACACGCATTCAGTGTGAGTTTAAGCCACTGGGTCCAGGACTCGAACCACGGTCGACTACATGGGAGTCCAGCAACATGGCCATTGCGCTAACTGCTGGTCCCAGGCCAGAGTGATTTTAACCAATATTTTTTCATCTTCCCTAAGAACTATGCTAGTTCTTGCTGGTATTGGTTCTTTTTTTTCCTTATATTCAGTTTAATTATTTGTTATATAATGGATGCCTGTCCAATAGAACAGACTGTAAAGTAGTTGTTTGATGCGCAGATTCACACAATATATCAACATTTACCTCTTAAGAACACATTATAGGGGACCAGTAGATGGCGTGGTGGTTAAGACACTGGCTAGTTGTCATAGAGCTTCACATGGTCTGCAGAGGGCTGACCAGGGTTTGAGTCCAGAACCTGGTGGCTTGCTTTCCCACTTTCTCTCTCTCTGACCAAATTAAAATAAATGAATAAATAAATGAAATTAAGTAAATAATTCTTTTTAAAAAACACACATTATAATCTTATGTTGTCCTGAATTTTTGTTTGTTTGTTTTTTGAGAATTTTGCTATAGGGTACTTGCATTTGCCAGAGAGACAGAAAGCAAGAAATCACCCCCCTCCCTGGGGGGTATGGCCATACTGCAGTCCCTTCTCCTCCTTTCTCTTGAGATTTTGGCCATGCACACATACTTGCTCAGTGTGAGTTTTAAGCTGCTGTGTCCAGGACTCGAACCATGGTTGACTATGTGGGAATCCAGTGAGGTAACCATTACACCATCTCTCAGTCCTGTCCTGAAGCTCTTTACTTCTGTTGAAGTACCTTTGTTTGTGGTGTTGATGTTAATCTTTACACCTTTTTGTGTTTTATAAGATTTACACTTGGAAGGTGGTACTCTTTATAGATATATGTAATGAAAACACTTTGTCAGAGTTCATTTCTTGGCTTTTGATGTGATGCTTTCTTGGGCCAAGATGGGATATCCTTCTAATGACTGTTCTGTTTCCTTATTTCTCCTCCTCTCCTACCCGGTCCTTATTAACATGCAGGAAGTCTGTCTAGCAGTCCAGAGGAGATGTCTGGCGCTGAGGAGGGGCGGGAGACATCCTCAGGCATTGAAGTAGAGGCCTCAGACCTGAGTTTGAGCTTGACTGGGGATGATGGTGGCCCCAATCGCACCAGCACAGAAAGTCGAGGCACAGACACAGAGAGCTCAGGTGAAGATAAGGACTCTGACAGCATGGAGGACACTGGCCATTACTCCATCAATGAAGAGAATCGAGTCCGTGATCACTCTGAGGAAGAGGAGGACGACGAAGAAGATGAAGATCAGCCTTGGCGCCGTGCACAGCGCAAGCGGGCCAACCGTGACCAGGACTCATCAGATGATGAGCGGGCCCTGGAGGATTGGGTGTCCTCAGAGACATCAGCCCTACCCCGACCTCGCTGGCAAGCCCTCCCTGCCCTTCGAGAACGGGAGCTAGGTTCAAGTGCCCGCTTTGTATATGAGGCCTGTGGGGCAAGAGTCTTTGTACAGCGTTTCCGGCTACAGCATGGACTTGAGGGCCATACTGGTTGTGTCAATACCCTGCACTTTAACCAGCGCGGCACCTGGCTGGCCAGTGGCAGCGATGACCTGAAGGTGGTGGTATGGGACTGGGTGCGGCGGCAGCCAGTATTGGACTTTGAGAGTGGCCACAAAAGTAATGTCTTCCAGGTGAGGCAAGGGAGCATGATCTCAACCGGGAGAATCAGGCATGAATTAGACAAAGCTGTGCTGCTATTTGGAGTGGGAGCTGGTAATGACTTGTAGTAGGAGTTAGACATCAGGACGTGGCCCTTTCGGCTCCCATAATGATGTACATATGAGGGGACCTCAGAAAGTTTGGAAGGGCCTGCCCTATAGTGCAACAATTAAAAGGAGCTGGATCCTGCATGGCTTACTTCAGTTTGGATCCCAGCCCAGTTGAATCTCAGCCCTGGTGACTTGAAAAACAGGCCGGGCATGTGTGTGTGTATGTTTAAAATCCCGACAGGAATGAGGAATGGAGGGAAAAGGATTGTGACATGACCCTTCCCACTGTGGGATTCTTTCTGTTTTCTCTCTCTCTCATGCAAGCTCACATACCTTCTGACAATAAGTAATAAGTTCTTGGAAAAAATATTAAGCTACATGTTTATTTTGGTACGAAATTTTGAAATCTGTACATCATATATATATATATTTTTTGTAATGTACATTTGCATGGCTTTTGAAGATCTCTTATACACTGATAGACCCGTGACAACTTTTGTTTCCTTAAACTTAAAGGACATTTGGAAGCCTCATTAAAGGTAGAGTGCTTGGAACTCATCAGTAAAGGTATTAAATGTGAACTGATAGGAGGCAGTGTAGTATAAGCGCAAGCTCTTGAACCAAATTGCTTGGGTTCAGATCCTGGCCCTTCCACTTACTAGCTATGGAAATGTATGTATGAGCAAGTTATTTAACTTGTCTCAATAAATAGTTTCTATTATAAAATGGGACTAATAATCCATAGAGTTATGAGGGTTACATAAGAATAGAGCTAAGCAGTTAGAACAGTGGCTGATGTTCCATAAATATTAGATATTTAGCTAATACTATTAATATTTCATGGAGGTTTATTTACTTTTAAGAGATTTTTGCTACAGAGTGCATGTACTTGCCAGAGAGACAGAGACACAGAAAGCGAGAAATCACCCTCCAAGGAGGTTGACCACACCATAATCCCTTCTCCTCTATTCCCTTTCAGGATCTTAGACACACACTCACACATGCCTGACATGAGCTTTAAGCCACCGAGTCCAGGACTCAAACCGTGGTTGACTATGTGGGAGTCCAGTGACATAACCATTATGCCATCTACTGCTCCCTGAGATTTTTTTTTTTTTTTAATTACCAGAAGGCATGTGCAATTAACAGAGAAAGCGAGAGAGCACAGCCCCCGATGGGGCATTGTCATACCGCAATCCTTTTTCCTTTATGCATACTCCTGGTGTTTTAGTTAGTTAGTTTGTTTTTTGCCAGAGAGCATGTGCATTCACCAAAGAGGGACAGGTCTGAGGGAGGGGGAGTGAGAAAGCACTCCACGATGGAGAAAGGTCATCACACTCCCTTTTCCATTTCTTCCTCCTTTTCGGTTTTTGGGCATGCACACATATGCGCCTGGTTTGTCTCAAGCCACCGGGTTTGGGATTCACACTGTGTGGTCCTTCATAGGGGATCCAGCCACCTTAACCATGAGGCCAAGAGCTGGTCCGTGGTGTGTTTTTCAAGCTGCCAAAGCTGGGATTTGAACTGTGGTTAGCCATTTAGGATCTGGCTTTCCAAGGACTGCACTTAACCACTGAACTATAGGACTGGCCCCTGTGGAGAGTCCCATCTACCACACTGGTACTAGCCATTTATCCCTAGGTATGTTCTCTTTCCTCTCCCAGCACTCCCTCTAGTTTCCATTTTCCTTTTTTGCAAGTTTATATTTCCTTCCCGAATCAAGATAGAGTTTTCTTTGTTCAGCTTTTCTCCCTTACTAGGGTACAGTCCTAAATCACCTGAATACTTATTCTTTGCCAGTTAAACTTTCCAAATGCTCTTTCTCTTACATCAGAGCAAGTTTTCTGTTTCCTATTCTTTTAATTCTTGGGAGAAATTGGGCTTGGCCAGCTGTACAGTAGAAAAGCTTGGTTTCCAGCTGTCATCAAGACAAGGGAGTGAATTGGGATCAACACGTTTTTCTTTTCTCTCAAATTCACCTCTTCAATTTCTTTTGTGTGTCCCTTTTTGCATTTTTAACATTCCAGGCCAAGTTTCTTCCAAACAGTGGTGATTCCACCCTGGCCATGTGTGCCCGGGATGGGCAGGTTCGGGTAGCAGAGCTGTCTGCCACACAGTGCTGCAAGAACACAAAGCGTGTGGCCCAGCACAAGGGCGCCTCTCACAAGGTAAGTCAGCCCTTGCCCAAGTTTGTGCAGTCTGGAGTCTCTGTAGGTCTCAGCCAAGGCCCTCCCTTATCTTTCTCCATTGTGTCCCCTACATTGTGATTACCTGCCTCACTTCTTTTAGTCCTAAGATTTGCAGTTAAGAAGGGAGTGAGGGGCCAGCAGGTGGCGTGGTGGTTGGGTGCTTGACTCCCCATGGCCGACCACATTTTAAGTCCTGGACCTGGTGGCTTGCTTTCTTATTCTCCCCCTCTCTCTCTGTCTCTCTGGTCATATTAACAAATACAATAATAATGATAATAAATAAAATAAAATAGTTCTTTTTTTTAAAAAAAGAAGGGAGTGAGAACAGCTACCTGAAACTGCTTTGAAAGCAAGTACAAGGTACTTTAAAAAGTCTGTGAAAGAATTCAGTTAATGCACCGGTTATTATAGTACCCAAAACATTTAAATCAGCACAGTTAATTATGCTTATTTTCCAGAACCAGCAGTTGGCATCGTAATGGCTATGTCGCTGGACTCCCATGTAGTCGATCATGGTTCGAGTTCTGGACCCGGCGGCTCAAACTCACACCGGGCACATACGCATGCGTGCCCAAGATCCCGAGGGGAGAATGGAGGAGAAGGGATTGCAGCGTGGCCATCCCCTGGGGGGTGATTTCTCACTTTCTGTCTCTCTGTCTCTCTGTCTTTCTGGTGAGCGCATGTACTATATAACAAAAACCAATAAAATAAATTGATAATAATACGCATTTTCCATGAGCTTTTTGTAAGCCCCTTGTATTTGAGAGAGTCCTAGGTCATGCACTTGTAATAGCATTCAGTTGGTTAGACCTAGCCCTAAGCTGAGCTGTGGTTGGTTTGGAAATCTTTAAGGTCTCCTATGCCTTCCAAACAAACCTCTTGCGTTTATTCTGTTTTTAGACCATTCTAACAACTCCAAGGTGCTAGTCGTTCCTTATGTGTGAGAGTTCCAACTGTCCTCACAACTCTCATACACGACACTGTTTCTGGAAGTCTTATTCAGAGCTGAGAACCACAGGCCAACTAGTCATGGTGGTAGCCTGTGAGGAGCTGAGAGCCGCCCAGTCCCAGTGCAGGCTTTGTGTTCTTCCATGCCCTGGAAAGAGGGTGATGCTCACCTACAGATCCTAAGCAAATATGTAGGTGGTCCTAGAGTATCGTTTTTCAGCCCTGATGGTTCAGGAAATGTGAATATTACCTGCTACTTTGATTCTTTTCTTTTTCTTTCTTTTTGTTTGGAGAGGTTTTTGCTATAGGGCATGTGCGTTCGCCAGAAAGACGAAGACAGAGAGACATAAAGAGAGAAATCACCCCTCAGGGGGGATGTCTACACCGCAGTCCCTTCTCCTCTGTTCTCCTCTTGGGATCTTGGGGGCACACACCCGGCATGAGTTTTAAGCCACTGGGGCCGAGATTCGAACTGCAGTCGATTGCATGGGAGTCCAGTGACATAACTTTTATGCCATCTGCTGGTTCTGCTGCTTTGATTCTTAACCATACCTCCAACTCACTAGAAAATGAACTTTTGAGAGCTAGCAGGAGGGATAATGGTTGAGGCTCTGGACTCTCACGTGGCCAACCACAGTTTTGAGTCCCAGACCCAGCAGCTTGAAACTCACACCAGATATGTGTGCACGTGGGCCCAAAATCCCAAGAGAAGAATGGAAAAGAGATCACAGCGTGGTCATCCCCTCTAGGGGTGATTTCTTCCTTTCTGTCTCTCATTCTTTCTGTTTCTTCGGTAAACGCACATGCCCTGTGACAAAAAAATAATCTCTCAAAAAAAAAATAATAACTTTTGAGCCAGCTGGTGTCATGGTGATTAAGGCCTACATGGCCAACTCCATGGTTTGAGTCGTGGAGCCAGCAGCCTGAGAATCATGCTTGGTACATGTATGTGTGTACTCAAAGTCTTGAGAGAAGAATAGAGAAGGGATTGTGATGTGACCATCCCCTCAGGAGGTGATTTCTCACTTTCCTTCTCTCTCTGTCTTTCTCTGTCTCTCTCTGGTGAACACACAACATGGGGGTAAAAATCTAAAAGGAAAACTAACTTTCAGAACTAAGATATAGAGAATGAAACTTAGGCTGTTTTCTTTTCACTTGAGGAATTGATTTCATTTGAGGATGAACACTAATGCCTGATGATTCCTTTAGTATCTCTGTTTAGATCCCTTAGGAACTTGGTTAAAATAGGAGATCACCTTTTTTTTTTTTTTTACTTGTATATAAACAAATTATTTACTTGTATATAAACAAATTATAAATAACTCACACAGAATAAGATATTTTACCTTTTTTGGAGAGATTTTCACTATAGAGTGTGTGCACTCACCAGACAGACAGAGAGAGACATAGAGACAGAAAGCGAGAAATCACCCCCCGGGGGGATGGTCATGCCGCAATCCCTTCTCCTCCATTCTCCGCTCGGGATCTTGGGCACGCACGCACACATGCCCAGTGTGAGTTTTAAGCCACCGGGTCCGGGACGCGAACCGCAGTCGACTTCGTGGGAGTCCAGTGACATAGCCATTACGCTAACTGCTGGTTCCTGATATTTTACCTTTTTTGTTGTGAAAGTCTTTCGAAGGATTTTATAGCAAGAAAGTAGACATTTTTCTTGCTGGGACATTTTAAATGCAGCCCTTTCTAAATAAAGGTAAAAGAATGAACTTAAGATTCTCCACTTCTAATCTTTAGAAACCTTTCTTTTCCTTTTTCTCCTTCAGCTGGCTCTGGAACCAGACTCTCCGTGTACGTTCCTATCTGCAGGTGAAGACGCAGTTGTCTTTACCATTGACCTGAGACAAGACCGGCCAGCTTCGTAAGTGTATCAGTATATATCTTTTCCTTTGTTTTTAACTGCCAGAGGGCATGTGTGTTTGCCAGAGAGGAATAGAGAAGGGAAGGGAGAAAGCACCCCTCAATGGAGTGTGAACATCTACCAATCCCTTCTCCATTTCTCCACCCTGTGGGGGATTTTGGGCACACACTTAGGCAAACACACACACACATTCCCAGCATGTTTTTTAGTCCACCAGGACTGGGATTTGAAGCAGAATCGGCCACGTGGAATCTGACTCCCTTAACCACTAGGCTATGGGGCCAGTCCTGCAATACATACCTTTTTCCCTTGGTCTTGAAAATAATTCATATGGCCTGGTAATGCTCAACTATCTGGCCCATCTTTGTGAGTAAGATAAGGGGTAGAATAATTAACAGACTTCCTTACTTCCTCTGTCAATGTCTCAGTGCAGTGTTCTGTGTTCTACCTTCGTTTCTCAAACAAGGTCCAGTTATTGTACACTGTGCAGACTTTAATAACTTGATCTGCTCTCCATTACCTTGGGTGTCATCTTGTCAACCCACAAGAAGCACATTACTCTACAAACTAGCTTGCAGACATGATCCTGTGGGTTTTTAATTTAGTTACATATAGAAACATGCAAACAATTAAATGGTATATTTTGAACAACAATATTGTTAGAGTCAGTAATTTCTGTCACATCACAGCTCACTTGTGCATTAATTTGAGACCTATGGGTAAATTATACTCTTTTTTTTTTTAGCTGTGCGATATAGAGAGAATAATCTCTTGTTTGGATCCAAGCATATGTAATTCAGGCACTACTATGAATAGTTACAGCCTAGGGGCCGGCAGGTGGCGTGATGGTTAAGGTGCTGGACTCCCACGTGACTGACCGTGGTGTGAGTCCTGGACCTGGTGACTTGCTTTCTCACTTTCCCTTTCTCTCTCTTCTAGTCAAGTTAAAATAATAATAGTAATAGCAAATAAAATTAAATAATTCTTTAAAAAAATAGTTACAATCTATATAATCTTCTGAACCTCAGTATCTCAGCCTTACTATGGGTATAACATCTGCCTTTCTCCTTCTCTTTCCAAAGGTCTCTGTGAAGATTATTGATACATGTATTTGGTGCCTCGGCACAGTGTCTGACATCATGGCTGGAACTGATTAAGGGGTAGTTAATGTTGGTTCATCAGAAAAGTCAAGATGCATTTTTGCATGGAAAACATAGAAAAATATGTCATGACTTTTCAACAACCCAATGTTACAATTATTTTGTTTCTTTCCTTCTTTTTTTATTAATGGCTACAGGCCATGTGCCTGAGAAAAAGAGGCAGAAAGCACCCTCCCCTCCCAGTTGTATGTGGTCTCACCACAATTCCCTCTTCATTTCTCCATCCTATTGAAATTTGGGGCACATCCACACATGCACCTGGCATGTTTTTCAAGCCATCAAACCAGGATTGGAACTGTGGTTGGCTATGTGGGATCTGGCTCTCTTAACCACTAGGCTATACAGCTGACCCTCCTTTTTTCATTTTTATTGTTTTTATAATAAATACCTTGTTTAAGAGATTCGAATAGTAAAGTATATGGACAAAATGTACATGCCCTGTTGGGCCCTCCACCCAATTTTTCTAACTATTGTTAACTATCGTTATCATTTCAAACACGTTTCCAGTCTCTTGTACATGTTTATGTACCTATGTATGTACATATACACTTTTCCTATAAGTGGGAAAGTGTAGAAATGTTTTCTACAATTTGTTTTTTTCATATTATAATGTGTTCCAGATGCCTTTGTACATGAAACCATAAATACCTGCCTCATTAGTTTTTTTTTTTTTTTTTTTTTTGGAGAGGTTTTTGTTATAGAGCACATGCAGTCTCCAGAAAGACAGAAAGTGAGAAATACCCTCCCCGGGGGGATGGCCATGCTGCAATCCCTTCTCCTCCATTCTCCTCTCAGGATCTTGGGCATGCATGCACACGCGCCCGGCATGAGTTTAAGCCATTGGGTCCGGGGCTCAAACTGCAATTGACTACATGGGCGTTAAGTGACATAGCCATTATGCCAACTACTGGTCCCCTGTCTCATTTTTTTAAAGAATTAATTATTTAATTTTATTTATGTGTTCGTTTTTGTTTTTGTTTTTTTAAATTTGACCAGAGAGAGAACAGGAAAGTGAGAAAGTAAGCCGCCAGGTCAAGGACTCAACCCTCAGTCAGCCATGTGGGAGTCCAACACCTTAACCACTAAGCCACCTGCTGGCCCCAAAAACCTGCCTCATTGTTAACCATGGCATATATGCCATAACATTTGGTGTACCACAGTTTATTTAACTGCTACCTTGATGACAGATACCTAGTTATTTGTTACAGTCTCAGTCATATAAATTATTATAACAAATCTTATAGGTCAGTACCAATATTGGATAAAGAAATCTCAATGATTTACATAAGATACAAGTAAAATATAAACTAGTGGCTATAATGTGAAGGCTGATTATTATTAGACTAGATATATCTAGAAAAAGTGTGCAAAGTGGGAGAATTTCAACAACTGATTAGATGATGGAAATATTGGCATGGGGAAAGGATATTCTGGTTATTTAATCTTCCTGAGGGTGAAGATTGGGAGTTGGTAGGTTTATACTGGAAAGGGAACAACCTGAGTGACAAGGGCTCTGTTTCTATTACTAGCTCTAGTTATCTAGCTTTGAGAAAATCATTTAATCTCATCAACAGAATGATGCTTGTTATTTCCAGCAGCATCTAAATTTCTGTGGTTCTGTGATGACAATGGGGCATTATCAAGTCTTCCACAAGGAAAGGGAAGGATAAAGATCCAGGAAATGATGAGTGTGATCTGCTGTGCCAGAGAGGTACAAAGCAGAATGAGATCTTAAGGCTTTATGGGTAAGGGTTAGAGGGGATCGTCCATTACGCAGAAGGAATTGAGAATCTGGTTCAAGTAATGAGTTGAGCAAATGACTGTGACAGATTATTATTATTATTTTTAAAGACTTATTTATTTATTTACTTATTTTAATTTGACCAGAGAGGGACATAGAGAAAGTGAGAAAGCAAGCCGCCAGGTCCATGACTTGAACCACAGTCAGCCATGTGGGAGTCAGAATTGTTTGTTTTAGGGGACTAAATTGAGGCATAGAAGGATTGAACTCTGTCAGGGTTACGTAATAGTGAAGCCAGTACCTTATAATCTGTCCTTTAGTTTCTTTATTTCTTTCATGTGGTAACTTTCATGTTTGACTGTCTCTCTGAAAATTCACATTGCTGAGGGCATGAGAAGTTTGAGTATAAAGAAGCAGCATCGGTTCCTAATCCCTTTCCCTGTCTGAAACCCAAGGTTAGAGCTAGCGCTTCTTGGCTGGTTTTGTTCCTGAAACTGTTATGTCTTTTGACATATTTTCCATTGTGTGTTTCTGAGGTGTGTGTGGATTTTCTTCCCCTAGCAACATTCATTTAAGTGATCTCTATACTCTTCTTTTTGATTAGTTTAAAATCTCCCTACTTTGCCTCAAGCAGTTCTAGGCCGGAGTGATTTTGATCATGCAGAGTTGCTAAAATCATTTCTTTACAAAGAAACTCATCATTGTGGTTATATTTAATATACGTTTAAGTTATTTTAGCATTAAAGTTTTTGCAGTTTGTATCTTCAAAGGGGAGTATAAAGATCACTGAAAATGAATGTCACTAGGGGAAGTAAATAACATTAGAAATGAGTAAATGAATAACATCAGAATGATGTTTCCGTAGCATCAGAATTAAAAATAAAAGCTAAAGCCAGCCCTTCCTATAGTTTCTTTGCATTTTTCCTTACCTGTAAAGTTATTAATCTTCATGACATCATATTTGACTGGGAAGAATATTCATAGTGCCACTTTACATCTGGGACAAATTATAGCTGTTTAGTGAGAAGGAGCTGAAGATTTCTGGGGTTCCCTCAGGGTTCTGTGCTCTCCCAAGGATTACCTATTTTATGTGACCAGAGTCATTTAGAAATGCTTTTTCAGGCTCCCATCAGCTCTCTACATAAGATCCTCCTTCTAATTTACTTCAGATAAGGAAAGAATGCTGCTTTCCTTTGCATCAGCTCTGTGCTAACAAACTATGGATTGTCAGGTTTTGTGTATGTGTGTTTTGTTTATTTTTTTATTTTTTTACTTTTTTGCTATAGGAGGTTGTGCTTGCCAGAAAGAAAGTGAGAAATCACCCCCTAAGTGGGGATGGCCATACCCCACAATCCCTTCTCCAGTCTCCTTGTGGGATTTTGGGCATGCCTGCACATGCGCCTGGTGTGTTTTTCAAGCCACTAGGTCTGAGACATGAACTGTCCAATTGGCCACGAGGGATCCAGCTACCTTAATCACCATGCCACCGGCTGGCCTGTTAGGGCACATTTTTTTTTTTAAGAGAGGTTTTTGCTGTAGGGTGTGTGTGCTTGCCAGAGAGACAAAGAGAGACAGAGAGACAGAAAGCGAGAAATCATCCCCCAAGGGGGATGGCCATGCCACAGTCCCTTCTCCTCCATTTTCCTCTCGGGATCTTGGGCACGCACGCACACGCACCTGGAATTTTAAAGCTGAGATTTAAGTGATGTCTTTCTGGAATCTGAGAGGTCAATTTAACCCGTAAGATTTTTTTCAACTCACGGGACCAGTAGTTAGTGTAATGGCTGTGTCACTGGACTCCCATGTAGTCGACCGCGGTTCGAGTCCCGGACCCAGTGGCTTAAACTCACGCTGGGCACATGTGCGTGTGTGCCCAAGATCCCGAGAGGAGAGTGGAGGAGAAGGGATTGTGGCATGGCCATCCCCCTGGGGGGGGGTGATGTCTCCCTTTCTGTCTCTCTGTCTCTGTCTGGTGAGTGCATACGCCCTATAGCAAAAACCTCCCCCCCCCCAAAAAAAAGATCTTTTTCAACTCACTATAGATGTGACTCTTTCTCTACCCTCTCCTTGTTCCCAGGTGATTGGAAAGATTTATTTATAAATAAAGGTTTGAAGGTATGGGTAGTATGGTTGGTGGCTATCGTGTGGACTCCACCTGAACTATGGCTTCCTCAGGAGCAAGACATCCTTACACCTTTACCTTCTACTTCTTGAACAACACTAGAAAATGACTTCACTATGTGGTTTTTTTGTCCATTCCCAAAAGTAGCATATAGTAAATCTATGTGCTTTTTCTTATTCCAGTGTTCAAAACAAAGAAAAAACAGAGTGCTTCTTTCTTTCCAAATGAGAACCTGTTAGGTTTATTAGCCATGTCTGTATTGCGCTCTTGGCTTTCACTTTCCCTGGCCATCTGTATCTTTTGGAGAATATAACTTTTATATTTTTCTACTCCTACAGGAAACTGGTGGTGACAAAAGAGAAAGAGAAGAAGGTTGGACTGTATACGATCTATGTGAACCCTGCCAATACCCACCAGTTTGCAGTGGGTGGAAGAGATCAGTTTGTAAGGTGAGTCTGTCTTTGAGAGTTTGAGACTCTGCTACATTCATGTAAACTATCATATCATATGCTTCTTCATGGACAGCGATGCCTTACCTAGGAGTCTGTTAACTACTGTCTTGACCTTTTTACTCTCTTCCAAAAAGCTGAAATGCCTTCTGAGGCATATGTCAGAGAAGTGCTGAAATGCTGAAGGGTGCACCCTCAGCTTCTACAGCACTTCCTCAGTTCAGCAAACTGAATGTCTTAGGATTTCTTTTTTTTTCTCTCTCTCTCTTTTTTCTTTTTATTACCAGAGGGCATGTGCACTTGCCAGAAAGAGGGGCAGAGAGAGGGGGAGGAATTACCTCCTAGCACACACACACAGATGCAGCTGGTGTGTTTTTCAGAGCAGTGGGGCTGGGATTCAAACTTTGGTTGGCCACATGGGAGTTGGCTCCCTTAACCACTCAGCCATGGGCCGATCCAAGATTTTTCCTTTCTTTCCATGTGTTTTGTATTTTTTTAAATTTTTATTTATTTATTTATTTATTTTGAGACATTTTAGCTCTA